CAAGTGACGCAGCAGGTTCGTAGCTTACCACCCACTGGTCCTCCGAAGCAAGCGGCAAAAAAAGGCGGTGCTTTTGTGCCTCGATACCGTTCGACACTCGCAACAATGGTTGATATGTCCGATTTGAAGGATGGTGGTTTACGTGAAATCAACATGGATGAAAGTGTCTTCGGTATTGAATTCCAGTCACATATTACATTTGATGACTTGGAAGAGATTTTTACCCATGATCAACTAGGCGTCAGTAATATGCACTCATACATCCGGTAATATTCACTCATCCGATATATTATTTAATTAGTCCCACAATATAATTTATTTACACATTTCAATGAAAATAATCTAATGTTTATTATGTTTTTATTTAAGGTTGTTGTATGACAGAGTGTTGCGCGGGACTGCATTGTCTAACAGATTCCGTTTCGTGTCTTCCGCCCATTGCAGCGGAATGACAATTGCTTCGGAACCGGAATCAGTTAGACAGCGCTTAGTAGATAGATTCATGTCCACCGGCAATACAGAAAGTCTGCATCTTTGGGCGTATAATACCCGACCAGTAGGGTTAGTTTCTCATTCTTGGTTCATCTAATCTCTGTTTCTTTTGTGTATAGCAAAATTTTCATATAACCTATTGTTTTAATTTATAGAGCACACTGGTTGCTGCTTGCTATCAACCCGATAAGAGAAGTCGTGTATTATCTGAATTCGGTAAATGGTGAATGGACCAATTATCCGGCTATGAAGGAAATCGTTGATTTGTAAGTGGGATCGTTCTAAATATATATTCGTGTATATTTATATATTTTCTTATTTGTGGGATTGATTTAAACATATGCTTTTATATATTTAATAATTAGATCAATACAAGTGTTCCGTAGTCAACGGGACGCACAGGTATCCCGAACTAAATCGAACAACATCACTTGGATCCAAGTGCAGGTACATTACTTTTCACAATTTTGCTTATAATATTTATGCTACTTGGTAAAACAAGACAACTATAGAATCTTATTTGTTTTATTATGTAGTGTCCGCAACAGCGAAACAGTCATGATTGCGGATACTTTGTTTTGAGGTTCATGAAAGAAATCCTTCAGGCGAATCAATTAGAGATTCCGCTCACGGTATGAATTTATAACTTAAGATAATTTCATATAATTTATTACATTTAACTAAATATATCATTTATATTATGTTTTTGTTTTGTAGTACCTTGACGAATTCCGTGCTGCTGCGTACCCGAAGCTTAAGTTGGAGGAAATTAAAGAAGATTTGTGTCAATATTATATTAAGCAATTTTTCATGTAGGATTTGTGTCGATTTGAACTATAATATTATTGATGTAATGATGTATATATATAATTTTGGATATTATAATGGTATTATATTAGTACATATATTGTCTTACTGATGGCTGAAATAATAGCGTCGAAAATATATTACAGGTCAAAAATATATTACAGGTCGAAAATATTACAGGTCGAAAACATTACAGGTCGACTGGGAGGATTAAATTATAGGCTGCACATAAAAATACCTCATTTAGAAACGACAGCGCTTTTAAAAAGCGCTCTTAAAGGTCCACCTACTAAAGCGCTTCTTAGTAAAAGCGCTGCCAAAGACCAGTAAAAAAGCATAAAAAATTTAAAAAAAACGCAGCATACAAAAGCGCTTTTGGAAAAGCGCTCTGGTAGGCCCCCCTATAAGAGCGCTTTTTCCAGAAAAAGAGCTCTTATAGGGGCGCCTACCAGAGCGCTTTTACAAAAGCGCTTTTGTATGCTGCGTTTTTTTTTAATTTTTTATGCTTTTTTACTGGTCTTTGGCAGCGCTTTTAAAAAGCGCTCTTAAAGGGGGGTCTACCAGAGCGCTTTTTCCAGGAAAGCGCTCTTATAGGGGGTCCTACCAGAGCGCTTTTTCCAGGAAGCGCTCTTAAAGGGGGGGTCTACCAGAGCGCTTTTAGAAGCGCTTTTGTTACCTACGCCAGCGCAAGCTTTTAAAGCGCTTTTAAGCGCTTTTAAAGGCCAAAATAAGCGCTTTAGTAGCCCTTTTCCGTAGTAGTGTATCCTTCAACTAATTTAGAAATGTGGGTGTTTGCAGCTTAGGAATTTGATCCGTCACTAATTTTCGTTAATTTAAAATCTTTTATTTTTGTTTAAACAAGTTTATTTTAATATTTTCTAAGTAAGAAAGCGATCAAAGGAATGTCCAACTAAAAGGGGATTCCTCGTGTTACTCACCAAAACTAATTTGCCTAGCCTCTTTTGAGTAGGCGTCCACTAGAAAAAGCATATATATTTATCGTTTCTTCTATTTCTCCAATATCGCAACAGCAGGAGTAATTTCGTCAACATAAACAAAAACCTTGAAGAAGGATACCAATTTCCTCATCAAGAAAATCTCTTCTTGAGACAAGTCGTTCATCGAATAGACATAAGTCTCAGAGTCTGCAAAGAAATGGATTTGACGCCAGACCTCGGAGAATATATCTGAACATTGATAAGGGGGCTCGGTCTTCATGGTAACATGTTAGCATGAATTGTCTCAATGAGATGAGTAACCAAGAAGTACTAGTACTTGAAATGATTCACACTCTCCGATTAAATGTAAAACATCCTAGTATATTACCTAAGAGATATCATATCTTGACCCTGCATTGTCAATGAAGTTGTGTTATGCCTTAAAGAGTTAGAAGAAAAGTATAACTGATGACACTCACTTCTTATACTTGCACAAATATTGAAGCATTTGACGTAAGCCTAGCTAATTTGATGCAATTGTAAAAGAGTAGTTAGTAAATGATTAAAAACACCAACTTGAAATTCATTGAAAGAAAAGTAGAAACCTATTCAAAAAATAGGCATTCCTGAAGAAGAACGATATTCCCATCGTATTTGCTGCATATCCTCTTATCTTCCTAAGGGGGAAGCATCATCTAATCTAAAGAGGTTCCCACCTCGAAGGAATGGTGTGTATATATATATATATATATATATATATATATATATATATATATATATATATATATATATATATATATATATATATATATATATATATATATATATATATATATATATATATATATATTCCTCTCTAACCTATAAAGGTGGAGGCATTATCCAATGTCTCTTTATCCATCCAAGCTGCCGAGTTGTCCCGAGTCTCTTTTCAGATTCAAGCTAGACAATTCTCCATCATAAGAGGTTATGCCAACACTTAAAAGAAATAAATAAGAGTAACACCCTAAAGCAAATTTAAAAATAAACATAACATCCCTATAAAAGTGCATCTATGGAAAAATGTTCATCAAAGTGCAAAAGAGAAAGACGATAAATCCCATAACCCCTTCTCTAAAAAAGCCCTAATGAAGAAAGAAAAAACGTAAAAGAAGACATGGTCATTACCTCGAATAAATTAAGTTGATGGGCCACGTGTTATAGATACTACCAAAGGGAGGTGCACGAATAGGTCAAATATGAAGAACAATGCATAAAGAATGACCACAAAAGAAGAAGTTGTTGGCGAGAGAGGAGAAGAGTTCAAAATTCACAAAAAAAGAAGAAGAAAGAGAAGCTAATAGTTCAAGAACTCCTTAGATATATCTCAATAGGGGTGAACCATATGATCCATTACATTGGGAAGTGTGAACCACGCCATCAATGATCTTGATCTCATCGTGAACCGTACAAAGTACTTGAGTATCCTAAGACATATAGGGTATAATCATCATTATACATAGGGACGCATATCAAGATTTTGCTATGAAGCATCGTCGATCGAGAGAAATATGTTTAATGCATCTATTAATCTTAATGATAGTGACAACATAACAAGAATTTTCACTTACTTCGATTAATAGTTGGCCTAAATGGGTGCATGATGAAGCCCTTGTCCTAAAAAGTAGGAAAAAAAAAGACTTAAGAGACAACAAATATCGGTCGTCCGCAAGCCCCAAGAACAAATTCTAAAGAGAAAAATACACATAACGGGTAGACCTTCACTTTGACCAAGAACGAACAATTTGATCCTTCACTCTGATTAGGAGAAAACGATTTCATCCTTCAATGCATCAATCATTGTATAATTCAATCAAACGGTTGTCCAAAGCAAGCCGCATCACGCGCGAATGATTTCCACTACTTTTGATGTATAAAAGTAAAGCACGTTAGTTCAAGTATTCAAACCAGTCTCATTCACACATTAATTACTTCTGATTTGTCTCATTGACGTATACGTTAGAGTGTTAATCTTACATATACACTTCACTTTATGGCATAAAAAATATTGCTCAAAAACAACGAGGCCTGAATCCACCACCTCATCTTTCATTTCTAAATAGAGATTCATAAGCATTTAAATGGCATGCGTGGCTTCAAACATGAAGAGTATATAATCTCTCTGGATCATCTTTGAACTAACCATCCAATTTGATTTTCGTTAAAATAATTGAATTTTCATATGGTGACATGAGTGTGCATCATTCCTATTTTTGTCCATATTTTACTCTCTCTATTTTCTCTCTTTTTTTTTTTTCGGTACAATTCTTTGTTTATCTATATTCCTATCATGCAAGTTCGTAACTACATATAGCACTTTCATTTTCTTTTTTTCTCTTTTTTCTTTTACACTAACCACTTACATGTTCTTGTTAGAATCAAACTAAAAAATCCAGAAATAACAAACCTATAAATTTAGGAAAGTATAAACTACTCTAATTCTACTTAACTATAATAGCTCATAAAAAATTGTGTTGCAGTGCAAGGAACGCCTACCATAAATTGAAAAGAAGTTTGATACTTTCAACTAGTCAACGAGTTTGGAGAATAATAAACTAAAAGTAAAAAATCACACACATCATCATTTCATCATATTTGAAAATTTTATTTAACCACACCTTTCTTCTTAATAATAAACTTAGACACCCTAAAAACCATGTATCTCAAAATATTCAACAACAAAAATCTTAACCATATGTATGTAATATATGTAATAATGTATGGTTATTGTATATAATTGGGGTATATAACCCAATGTTGGCCATCAACATTCACCTTAAGATTGTGAACTTTAGCGAATAAATCAACAGCTCTTCTAACCCCTCTATTATCTGCAGCAGTAAAATAATCATGCCCGAAAATAACCCCATCGGGTCGGACTATCTGGTAACCTCGATTTATATCTGACCAGGCCGATAAAAAGTCATGACCCGCATCAATCTCTACCAAATCAGCCCATATACCCAATTCACAAAGCTTGGATAATCCCGACCCGCTCGAAAACGGTAACGGTAAAATTGACCCGGTTTGATTGAAAGTAACAACATTTTGAAGAAACTGATAATAAAGCAAAACGTCACCGTTTAACATGGCTATGTTTTTTACCTGGTTTCTAAACCCGGCCCAACCACGAAAATCATCGATGCAGAGAATCTGAGTCTCGAGTCCGAGTCGCTGAGTCAACTCAGCCATGTGAATCGCCGAAGCTCCAAGAAACGTTCCAACCTCCACGATTATCCGAGGCTGCACTTTACGAATTAGGTTCTCGAAAACGGCGCCGTATGAACCCCAACCTGCGACCTTCTTGCGAAGAAGCTTCTCTTCCGCGTGCGGCGGAGGAAAGTCGGTAAACGGCGAGACTCCGTCGAAGATATGGTTGATAAGTATGCTGCGAATATTCTTCGGGGGAATTGGTTCGGCGCAGTGTGTTTTCACTCGAAATGGTTCGAGCTCGGTTGTGTTGATGTCAGATAGACGGTATAAGGGAGATGAAACGTGAAGCCTCGGCGATGGTGGTGGTGATAGCGTCGGCGACGGTGGTGCTGATAGCGTTGGTGGTGGTAACGAAGGAGAAGAAGAAGAATGAGATAAGTAACCTAAGGTGTAAGTTAGCACGAGAAGGACAAAATACGCTGCCGGTTTAGCTATTTTTGTGATGGTGTTGATAATCGATAATGAAGACGAAACTGAACCTCTTTTATTATGTTCTGTTTTCATGTTTCTAGAAATTTTTGAAGAAATAATTTCTATTATTCTTGTTTGAATTTGCTATAACTTTAGTGTTTGTGAGTCTATAAAATGTTACAAGTTTCTTCTTCAAAGTCTAAAGTTTTGTGATTTTGGATTTTGGTAATGTGATTTTGTTTGCTTCTAAGTATTTTCCTATTTGACTATTCAAATTTAAGTTGTGGAATTTTTGGATAGCCAATACTAGTGGTTATGATTTGATGGATACTTTTCTTTCAATCTAGTTATTGCTATTCAAAGAAATTAAATCTAGTTATTGAGTAGTATTTTTAATTCGGTGAAAACAATATCTTATTAAATGCGATATGTATTAAAATTATATTATACAAAATAATTTTTTTGGACTCATTTAAGGAAATTAAATTGTAACTAATAGTTTAATTTATATATTACGGATGTAAGTCTTTTTACACTGTTAATTAAATATAATTAAAAAATAATTTAAATTATTTCATTTTAATTACAATTATTTTTAAGAGCAATGTTATTTTGACACTCTTTATTACACCAAATTTCACAGCGTAGACTTTATTTATCATATTTATTAGTAAACTGTATTTTTTATTAGAATAATATTTTTTTTAAATAATTATTAAAAAAACTTTATTTTTAAATTTATTTTATAACACAAATATAATATCATTAATCAATTTTATAATTTTATTAATCATAAAAAAATAGGTTATTAACCACTTATTTTACTTATAATTTATTAATTACTTCTACTATTTTATCAATCAATAAAATATATACTATTATTCTAATAATAAATTTTATTTTATTATTTAATTTCTTTTATATTTGAGAAATCATTAATCAAATTATAAATTATATTAATCAATTTTATAAATAATATTAATCAAAATTAATTTATAATTTAAGATTTAATATTTGATGTCAGAATACTCAATAATCAAACTATAAATTATATTAACTAATTTATAACACTCAATTAATCAATTTTATTTTATAACTTAAAATTACTTTTTTATGTCTGAATATATATTAATCAAATTCATAATTATATTAACCAAATTTTAATATTTCATTAACTAAATTAATTTAAAGAAAAATAAAAAATATATTTAAAAAATTAAAATAATAAAAAAAACTGTTTCATATTTGTAAATAGTGTATTGGGTGTAGCTATAAGAATACACTATCATGATATCATTTCTCTATTTTTAAACCGTATTTATTAATTTTGTCAAAAAAAAAATCATATTTATTAAGAATTGTCATTTGATGATAATGTAAGAATATTTGGATATTAAGTGCTAAAAAAAATCATGTGTTAAGTCAGAGATTTGTTTGTATATTAAATGTGCCATGCAAATAAACTATAAGATTGATTTTTTTTTTTTTTTTGATTAGTAGGTCATATCGGATAATAAATTTTAAAATAATTAAAATAATAATAATAATAATAATAATAATAATAATAATAATAATAATAATAATAATAATAATAATAATAATAATAATAATAATAATAATAATAATAATAATAATAATAATAATAATAATAATAATAATAATAATAATAATAATAATAATAATATTGTCAATATTTTTTACATATATATTTAACTTGAATAATTTGAAATTATTGATAGCTACAAAATTCATTACAACAATAAAGCAAGAAAATCTTATCTTAACTATTTGCTTCTACAAAATTAATATCATAATTTGCTTCTACAAAATTAAATTTGAAGTTTTTCTTGTAAAATATTATCAATTAATGTTAATATTTTTAATTTAATAATCATATTTTAAATTTAATATTGAATTAAGATTAGTTTAGATTCCTTAAGATTAATTATAAATTTATTAATGTCTTATTTTTAAAATTTAAATTCGAAAATTCACTTGAGTGTTCAAATTTAATTTTGGTGGATGTTCATATTGACTATGATATTTGTTTGAATAAAGTATAGGAATTGGTACTCGCTGTTAAATTAAGATATTTTTTAACCTTATTTATAGGGTAATATCAATTTATATACCATGTTCATGTGTTAAAGATTCTATTATTATGACAATAATATTTTTTAAAGCTATAATAATTTAAATATATTCAAGTCAATACTCAATAGTCTAAAATATCAGTGTCAAATGTCAATATCATTATTAATTACAAATTGATTTGAAGAATATAATTTTGATATATTATTTATATTTTTAGTCGATAATACGGAAGGTATTGAATAAGATATTTTTTTCACCAAATTTAAAATGCAAATTAATTGAAGGAAAGTGGGGATGAATATATTAATATACACCTAACACCTAGATCCAAAATCTACGTGCCTTATTCTACTAGTTAACTGATAAATTAAATATGCGTTGTGGACAATTTCAGTGTTGTCAATGTAGTCACAAATTCACAACCACAAATTAAATTGATTTAAACATACATATAAAAATTATTGTCATTTAGTTATTATAGTTGTTTGATTTGGCTATAACACTTGCCTATGTGACTATGAAGTGTCACAAGTTTCTTTTTTGAAAAGGCACCCACAATATGTCAAAATTTAATTTAGAGATTCATTACTGTATGTATAAAAAATATATTCAAAAATATATCTCTGTAAATATTTATTCAAAAATTAATAGATAGTTCGAAGATGCATATCTCAATGCTTTAATTTCATATCTTTGCGCCACGCTTTTCCTCTTCCTCCTTCATTTTTTACAAAAAAAAACTTCTCATCATCTCAAGCTTTTGGGCTCTGTCTCATTCAAGTTTCTCTCCCTAACAAACTTCTACCGTTGGAGCTCTTTCTCTTCTTTTCCAGCTCTCATATCATACATTCAATCTTCTACTGCTTATCAATTTGATTTGGTAAGTTTTAAAAAATTATATCTCTTTTTATGTTTTGATTTGTAGTTAGTTGTTTAAGCTAAATTAGTTATTTGAGGTACATTAGATAGTAGTGTAAACGAAATTGGTAGGCTAGAAAAAACATGCATTGAGGTAATATTGAAAGATTATGACAGAAATGTTGTTTCTACCAAGGAAGAGAATCACAAGTTTATCCAGAGATGCATCTCTGGATTTTCTCAGCGCTATTTTCGGAGAACCATCTCCGAATTTGACTCAGGCAAAAAGTTGATTGATTTTGTGGAATTTTTGAATTTGTCCTGACATGCTATTTTTCTTTGTGTTTGTTTGTAACGTGAGTTCAATGACTAATAACACTGGCAGAATTAGGCTCAGGCGTGTGTCTCAAACCCTGTTGGTACAACGTGAGAGGGAAGAAACCATGATCACAAGGCCAGGAGTTGATGATAACTCACTTAATGGTTCACAACGTCAAGATTCCCAACCGTCTAGTTCTACTAACTCCCACTCTCAGGCATCTATTCACGGGGCCATGAGTCCCTAGATGATGCAACAAAACCTTAAGTTCCTAAAGCCCATGAAGTCGAGGAGGAAGCCGTTGTTGATTCCCCTTTAGAGAGTTACCCAGGAGGCCCATTTGGCACCTTCTTACTTCATCTCTATGCAGGCCATGTTGCTAGGCATGTTTGAGAATGAGAGGTATATTTAATTTTTTATTTTATTTTGCAATACATATGTTTTCAACTAATTAAATCGATACTGATGGTGATATTTTATTTTAACAAGAAAGTACATGTTCGAAATCGATAAACCACGACAGAAAGATATTGGAGCTGGAACAACCCACTGCTACTTAGTTCGTTGATGCTATTCTTTATTCCAGTATTACAAGTTTATGTGCCTTTGTATACATGACCATAAACCACATCATACAGACGAATTTTGCAGATAGGTGGCATTCAGAGACGTCATATTTCCACCTTCCTATAGGTGAGATGACCATCATCTTGGATGATATCTCATCCTTCCCACATCTTCCCACTAGGGGGAGATTACTAGACCACATAAGGATCAGGCGAGGGGAAGTCGTCAATATGATGGTCATCCATTTGGGGGTTGGCCATGCTAAGGCCGTACAAGAGGCCTCTGATACAATAGGTTCTGATGCAAGATTTATTTTTTTGGAAAAGATTTATAAAGAGCATCTGCACTGGGCCCTGGATGCCAAAGTTATGCAGGTTGAGTATCACCAACCTTGTGCATCAAGGTGTTACCTCGTGTTCCTGGTTGGCATGTCCATGTTTATAGACAAAAGTGCAACCTATATTAATATGGTCTACCTTAAGTACTTCATCGACCTGACTGCGATTCACAAGTACAACTAAGGGTTGTCTGTTTGGTCTAATTGTACTCAAAGTTAAATGAGGGCTGTCTTTGGAAGACAAAGTAGATGACAGAGAGTTGCATGCTACTTACGATAATTTACTGTTACGAATATTTTCATTTTTTACACTTGTTATTAGTATTGTATTTGAGTAATATTTAGGGATGGATCATCTCCCACTTGAAGGTGTGAAAAAAAATAAAGAATGGGATTTGAATTGGGTTTTAAACTAAAAAAAATTCCTTTTAAAATCCCCTTTAAATCGTAACAAGTTACTTCACTTAGTGATAATAGTGATAAGATGCAAGAAGGAAAGAGCAAGTTATGTTTATACTAGTTCACTTGAAAACTATCAAGCTAGTCTAGACCACCCACAAGGTGATTTCGCCTCTCTCAAACGAGGTCTTAATCCAATAATCAAAACAAGATTATTACACTTGAACATACCAATTGTATGTGACTAACTATCAATCTCTAAGACACACTAGTCATAGACTTCTCAAGAATACTGACCTAACTAATCTCTTAAGGAATAATCTTTAAGACACACAAGTCTTAAACTTCTCAAGAATATTGACCTAACTGGTCTCTTAAGGAATAATCTTTAAGACACACAAGTCTTAAACTTAAGAATTTTCACCTAACTGGTCTCTCAAGGAACAATCAAACAACTGCTTGAATAATTCATTTACAATGAAAATGCTTCTACACAAGTTGATTTGTTAACAGATTTTA